CCCCCACACACACACTCACTCACACACACACACACACACCCACACATACATATTTCAGTCACCTCAAACCAATTACTTCGGACAAAAACACATTAGACAGTAACATTTTCAGCATTGGGTTCAGCCTCTCCTTTACTGCTTCCAACAATACAAAAAAATGGAGGACAAAAACAAAATCAACATCTTAGTGTAAGACTCCACCTTATGTTGTGGTTTTTAAAAAAGTTTTAGTAAAGGTTTTACGGCGCTCGCAACTACATAAGGTCATATGAGCGCCAAGGGGTGGATGTCAACAGAGAAGTCCTTGCAGGGAATCGGGCTCACTCTGCTCACCTCTCTAGCTTCAACAGCACAAAGTCTGCTTCGACTATCAAGGCAACCCGGAAATAGCGGGTCACAAAAGTGTGACACATACAAAAGAAATAGAGAGAAAATGACGATAGTAGGGATTAGGAAAGAAAAAGCAGCAGTTCTCTGCTGCAGTTCAGACACACTTATGCGCATGAAATTGATGAATCAGCCCGTTTACAATTTACAATTCTACTGTGCATAAGAACATGGTTAATGTCCGCCCTTTGGGAATGGCCTAAAGACAACTTCAGTCAGTAGCACCGCCCCGGGGGGTACCACCTTATGTCACTTTTCAAAGTGGCATACGGCGGAGCCTTACACTAAAAAGTTGAAATGTTAGAGTTTGACAGCACTTGCAACACAATAAAGTCATATAAGTGCCAAAGATAAGAGGTATACAAGAGAGTAACAAATACAAAAAAGGAGGAGGAGATATAAGGACGAAAGATGTTCGATAAGAAAAATGGAGGCAAACCCCACCAGAGCACCCACCAACCACCCACAAAAAGTTGAAACGACTAACTTACTGGTTCAGAGGTAAGTATTTCTTGGCGTATGTTCCATCTGCATCCTGTGGGGGAAAAAAACAGAAACATGAAACAAATGAAACAAAGAGATAAGCTCTTTTTCAACTTGTAGAATTTGAATTTTGACAATGTTTCTCGAGCTCATGCAGCCGATACCACAGATTATGAAACAGCAATTGAAAATTTTTTTTTTTTTAAATTTTGGGCTTAGTTTCTATGTAAGAGCTGTGGGGGCCACAAACATACACATACTCACTCAGACACAAATTCTCCCCTTCTCTACACACATATTTGGTTGCTTTTAAGGACAAGCAGGCTAACCCAGATTTTGTGGGTTTCCAGAAATCTTGACCTACACCAAGAGTGGACATTGCCCTACCTATACAAGAAGTTTGGTTTCATTGGTGTGTATGTTTGTTTGGTTATAGAGAAAACTCTCCTTGTCTTTTAATGAAACTGAATATGGATCCAAAAAACTTTACTTTCGATGTTCTCAAAACAGTATTTTTTGGGATAGCCCCCTTGTGCTTAAAAGCGAGCATTTCTTCTCCCCAGCCCACCCCCCACCCCCCCTCATCTCCAACACACATACACACACACACATTCCCACCTACACCATTGACTGACTGCACTGTGCATAGATCTGAGAGCTGTCGGAGCCATAAACATCCTGTTGACATAATGCTACTGAAGGACAATGAAAAACGGAAGAAAAAAAATACCCCTCCCCCCTCCCATAAATATCTACCCACACACCAGCGACTGACCTCACTGTGAATAACTATGAGAGCTGTCGAAGCCACAACACGGCTGTTAGGAAGCGGTACTTTAGTTAGCAGACAGCCAGCGCGCCGCATCTTGTAATCTGATCTCGGTCATGGGGTCATGAACTCTCGGCCAGGGGAATACCTTGTGTCCCGCTAAAAGCATTGTTCATTTCAGTTTTAGGACAATTAAACTTGCAAAATAGGCTGACCAGTGATTTAGCTGTCATTTTATTTTTCCTCGTTTGGAACAAGAGGGAACTTCTGCACTCACTGACAAAGAAGCAAAAATTGTATGAAATAACGATTAACATATATAGCATTCGGAAATTGTCTCATATTTTAACATTGCCCTTGAGGGGGGGGGTAGATTTTAAAATAAAAAACGTGGGAGGTCAAACCGGGGCTCGGTCACCAACTAAGGTATCACTTTCACTGGGATTTTAACAGCCGCGACAAACATCCTGTTAACCTAATACTGTTGTTTTGTTTTAGTAGAGGTATTACGGCGCTCGCAACTGCATAAGGTCATGTAAGTGCCAGAAGATTAGAGGTGTCACAAGAGAGTAACAAGCATAAAAAAGAAGAAGGGGAGATAAGGATGATAGATGTCTGATAGGAAAGAAGAAACAAACCACACCAGAGCACCCGCCAACCACCCACTCAATATTGTTGAAGGACAAAGAAAAACGCAAAAACAAACACCTGCCCCCCCCCTCACACACACACACACACATCTCACAAACACATATCCATCCACACACACCATCGACTGACCTCACAGCGTATAGCCCTGAGAGCTGTCGGAGCTGTAAACACCCCGTTGACCTGATGCTGTTGAAGGACTCAGAAGAACGCAAACACATACACCATCCTCCCTCTCACACACACACACCCACACCCAGACCCACACGCACATATCTCCCCACACATCAGCGTCTGACCTCACTGCATATAGCCCAGAGAGCTGTGGGAACCAAAACCATTCTGTTGACCTGACGCTGTTGAAGAATACGGAAAAACACAAACACATACATTTCCCCACCCTCTCACACACACATGTATCTCCCCACAAACACCACACCATCGACTGACCTCACTGCGTATAGCCCTGAGAGCTGTCGGAGCTGTGAACATCCCGTTGACCTGATGCTGTTGAAGGACACGGAAGAACGAAAATACATACACATACACCCCCCCCCCTTCCCTCACACACACACACAAACACGCACATATCCCCACACACACCATCAACTGACCTCACTGCGTATAGCCCTGAGAGCTGTCGGAGCTGTGAACATCCCGTTGACCTTATGCTGCTGAAGGACACGGAAGAACGCCCCTGGGTCTGGGGTCCCCACGGGCTTGCCCTGTGGTCAGATTGGCATCGTCGTTGTAGATGATCAGATTTATTAGTTTTAGCAATTGTTTTTACAGCACTTGCAACACAATAAAGTCATATGTGTCGCAACAAGGTGGAATCAGGAGCTCGTCAATTTTTGGGCATGTGGAGCTATTGGTATTATTAAAGCTTGTTGATTTGTCTTGCTTTCGATGAGAAAAATATCCATTTATCTCGGATACAAGTCGAGAAATTGGCAACTGAAGGAGGTGGGTGTCACCTGGTTTCGGAGGTAAAATTTGCAAGACAATGGCCGGCAAAATTTTGTTATTTCCTTTGCTTGAGAGTCCGAGGAAATTGAAAATTTACATAATTTGTGCCTTTAATTAATGTTTTTCAATAAAATAAATACAGAAATGTGTTCTTTAATGGACATAGAAGGTGTTGAAAAAAAAGCAAAAATTCGAAAAAAAATTCCCAAACCTGCGGAAAAATGCTAGTTTCTTCATTTTCATTATTTTGATGAGCGCCTGATTTCACTACGTTGTCTCACATATATAAGTGTCAAAGATTAAAGGTGTTACAAGAGAGTAATAAACACAAAAAAGGAGATGGGGAGATATGGACGTTAGATGTTTGATAGGAAAGAAGGAGCAAACCACACCAGAGCACTCGCAAACCACCCATGTAGATGATTTGTCTAGGAAGTACAAGGTACTTGCCCTACAGCATATGTATTCACAAAACCCTTTCTCTCTTTGTCTTTCACTCTTATACCTCATATTCTCATCTTTATTCTGATTTTATTCAAACCACACATTCCTGCTCTCTCTCTCTCTCTCTCTCTTCTTTTTCTTTTCCCTTGTACTCTCAACTTCTTTCTTTTTTTTAAAAACATACATTCCTACTTTTCTTTCTCTCCAACCTGTCTCTCTCCCTCCTTCTTCTTCTCCTCATTTTACTTCTTCTCCTTCTTCTATATCTCATATACTCACATTAATTTTTTCCCTACATATCCCTCCTCTCTGTATCCCCAACTTATCTCTCTCCCTTACCTTTTCTTCTTCTTCTTCCTCTTCTTCTTCCTCTTCTTCTTCTTCTTCTTCTTCTTCTTCTTCTTCTTCTTCTTCTTCTTCTTCTTCTTCTTCTTCTGTCCCTTACCTCACATTCTCACCTCCTTTCTTTATTTCCTCCACACATTCCTACTCTCTCTTTCTCTCAAACCTGTTTTTCCCCTTACCTCGTACAGGACAGTAGTACAGCCAGCCAGAAGAGGTGCGTACGTAATGTACGAGTGACCTACGACCCAGCCAAGGTCAGATGCCGCCCACCACACCTGGGGATACAATACATTCAGTATTAAGTTTTACAATATAATAATGATAATATGCTACTAATAATCCAAATAACGGGCTAATAATAATAAAAATAGTTATAATAAAAATATTAATAATAAAAATAAATATAAAAATAAAAATAAGAACAATAATAATAATAATAATAAAAATAATAATATATTATTATTACATAATAATAATAATAATAATAATAATAATAATAACTATGCAGATCATTCCTATATATAGTGAAAACTCCAATTCAATACAGCACGAAGTGCTTTACAATACCTATATCTTACCACAAAATACAGGTAAATGAATGTGCATACATAGGTAGGGCAATGCCCACTTTTGGTGTAGGTCAAGATTTCTGGAAACCCCCGAAATCTAGGTTAGCCCGCTTGTCCTTAAAAGCGACCATTTTATAAGTGCAAAAGATTAGAGGTATTACTAGAGAGTAACATACAAAGAAAAGAAGGAAGAGAGATAAGAACAATAAACGTTTGAAAGAAAAGAAGTAGCAAACCATACCAGAGCACCCGCCTACCACCCATGACAAAAGAGGTACTGTGATGTCTACATAATATGTCTCCGATGTACACGTGACCTTGACCCCTATGTCCATCTCACCTGTCCAGGCTTGAGGCCGTAGATGTTCCACATGGACCAGGCCAGAGCCACGGCGTGACCTCCGCTGGGTCGCATGATGGCCTAGGGGAGAAAAAAAAATTGTAATCGTCAATGTTTTATGGCCCCAAATGACACAATGTAGGTCAGTGCTTGTCAAAACTTTTTTTTAGCCAGCCCCCATTTTTGTCACTCTTAACTCTTTATCTCCAAGGGGGGTAAACCTACTATGCCGTGGCCCATTTTAGGTACTAAATCAAAAAATGACAAAATTGTCACTAAATTGGTCATTCAATCAAAACAAATTAACCTATTTCGATAGTTCTTCATCTAATGAATGAAATAAAAGACACCTGCTTTCTGCAACTGCCGAAAATTAACTTGATGTCGAAGTCGTCGTAAAAGAATGAGCCCGAGCTGCTGCCAGCGGCTCACCAGCACAGTGGGAGAGCTTGCCGGAGATAAAGAGTTAAGAGATGTTAAAATTTTCATAAAGCCCACCAACATCTATTTCCAAATGGGGGTACCAAATAATACATGTCAATACCCAGGTGACCACCCACCACCCCCACCAAAATTACCAGATGGCCCACCAAAATACCTTGTTATACCCTGTGCAAACTGACAATCGAATTTATTTTACTGACACAGATCAGGGCTAGCCAGATTTTTATCAACGGGAGAAGCAAAAGCTAGTATTTTGGCACAATATGACTGAATTCCACTAAATTGGATCACGACCTTCAAAATCAGACACACAGACAGACAATACCTTCAGCATTCCGGTGGCCACCGAGGTGTAGATAGACCTGCCAACCCCAACCAGAAAAAAATAGGATTTTCCATGGAAAAAAAAATGGGAGTCCGAAGAAAAAAATAGAAGCATCTAACTTAACATCCATTTTCCCTGGCTAAGTTGGTTAATCGCAAAACAAAATAACTTTTATTAGAATATTCGTTATAAGAGATTATTATACATGTAGGGGTATACAAATCATCATAACTGCCTTACCTGCATCACTGTATTGTTGTCTACTCGTCTTTAACTAAGGCGCTATGTAGGTCAACAGGAAGTTACCATTGACTTCTGACTTGTTGCCAGGCCTGAGTGTTTGTAAACGAGTGACACGCACGGACTTCTTTGGTTGCGATAGCCTCACTTTCGTTGCTCGTGACGACGTAATTAGGAATACGCTCCCCCAAAATAAAAGCTGGAATCTGATCGGCTATTGTTTTTAAACCTGGCCCATCAAAGTTCGTGGACAAAAGTATTCCAAAGTAGAGGTCAAGGCCATCATCTGTATACATAATTATACAGTGTGGGCGGTTTCCTCTCTGGGCTATGTGTCGTACATCTACAGCAGGCGCGTTACTCGGTTCGCGTGATGTGTGCTGTAGATCAACAGCGAAAGCTGACAGCGAGCGGGCCACGGGTTTAGGGATTTCCTGACCCATTTTCTGAATCGACGAGACATCCGATCTGCGTTAGGCCGAGTTTTCTCGGTTCGAGAAAAAAAATCAAAGTTTCGCATATTCCGTCTGAGTAATTCAAAATGATAAAAATTTCAGAGCAATTATGGTAAAATCGGAGCGGTTGGCAGGTCTGTGTAGAATATAGAGACGGGGTCTGTGGCAGGGACATGCACACAGCCAGCACACAGACAGACAGACAGACAGACGGACGGACAGACAGACAGACAGACAGACGATACCTTTGGCACACCCGTGGTCCCTGAGGTGTAGAGTATGTAGACGGGGTCAGTTGCAGGGACAGGCACACAGTCGGCCGGGGTGCCCAAGGCCACAGCATCGTGCCAGTCCAGGTCTTGTCCTGGGTGTAGTTGGGCTGGTTCAAACTGTGTGTGTTTGGGGG